ACAATGAAGCACATACGTCACGTGGCTCTTGTGCTACATAAAATGGATTACAAGGACCACTGAGCCCTCATCCTGCTAGCTGTCACACGTCAAAGCAGGCAACGGTGTGGCAGAAAGACGCTGATTAGACCAAAGGGTGACAGGCAATACCCTTCGTCGGGGGCTTCACCAGATACTATTGTTCACGAAATGGCATCCAAGCGAGATCCAACGCGGCATTTTCAGACAAAACGAGACTAAAGAGAGCAGAGCCAATGCGAAAAAACAGCGTACTGAAGTAAGTTTTGCAGGAGAGCGTCCGTAATGTGCATGTGATGTGCCTTGTATCATTTTGTGGGGTTTCGACGCAGCCTGCCTACCATTCTGGGCACCCTTTTTAGTGTGCAAACCTTATTTGACATCACATGATACACAGGACGATGGAGCCCAACTTTCGCGACCTCCAATACTAATGACTGGGCGAGGCGTAAACGTTGGCGGTGGTAGTTCTACGGGCCGTGCCATCTTTGCCGTTTGCGGTGGCTTGGCAGGTGCCTACTATGGATTCTATCTGCAGAGCAAGTACATGGAAGAACGTCGGGTGCGTAGTCGATCGCATGCAGATTCCCAGACGTACGCTCACCTCTTTTTTGTATCGTGTCCAGGTCCAAGTTCTCGTGGAAGCAGAAGCGCGTAAACGCCTTGCGGCCGCCACACATACCCCACAACAGTCGACTGTTGAATAGACACGTAAGTTTCGGATCACGCTTCTTTTTACGGAATGCTTGTGGTCACAAAAACGATGAAAAGAAGAACAACATGTGGTTCGGCCATTACCTACTTCCAGGACTCCCTTTCGGATGTTCCATCTCGTGCCAAGTGTTACGCATCGATCCGTTCGTCTGGCATAGTTGCTGGTTGTGAGTGCTACTGTCGACAAAAATTTTGTCATCTTGCATTGCACGTGTCACGAGGCTCAGATTGACTGGTGAGACCCGTCTCGATTAAGCTCTCTGGACGTTGAGACGTCGTTTTGTAAAGCTCGGAGTGACAACACTCATGCGCATTGCAAGTGGAAAGTACATCGCGTTCTTCTGTCGGGCACGTTATGCTTGATATCTCACTCGGCGAAAGCTTCTGCCTGTTGCAGAGCCTCTCGTTGACAACAGTTGATCTCCTACCATTGCCTGTGTACCCTACCACGTGCAGCCAATGACAACATAAATTCTAGTTCTTGATCTCCTACGATCGCACGTTGCCTACTTTCCGTCGTTCCATGAAGCTCCGACATCGCTAGCTGTCCTTTCAACGTACTTGACGACTGCAAAGCTGTCAGACTCTCCAGTTTTCTTTTGCGTTGAGGCAAATGAATACCAACCCAAAGATCAGATGTTGCGATTTATGCCGACGAGCAACTTCTTACACGACTCCAGAGGGCAATTCTGTTCTTTCTGCCAGTCGTTGCCACTTAATGCCTTGTTATCATTCTGGCTTGTTACAAGTGCATCAGCACTACAGCGTGATGGCTTTGTAAGATTTCGCCGACAAAACGTCGCAGCTGTCGACCAGCTGAGCATTATACCTTGTAGCGTCCAACTTCTTTCGCGTCATTCCTTGTCGCGTCTTTATTCTTATCATTGCCGCGACTAAATCTAACTCGACGTGTTCCAGCTTCTACGTCGAATTATAATGTGTGCGTGCTTGTGTAGTCCTACCTAAGGTATAGCTACATTCTTCTCATTTAGTTTTCATGTTCGGTCCTATTCGTTTTTGACGGTTCGCATTTGTTTGCGTCCTACTTGCTATCAGTTTCTCCACCTCCAGTCACAGCTGCAGCACACTCTACCAACCCCTGATTTCCAATCGACTAGATCTTGATTCTTGAAGGAACTACCGACATCATATGTTTTCAGCTGTGAGCAATTGACATACTTCGACTTCTCTATGTTTTAACTCTGACAGCGCGCAGGAGCTGCAGGGAGCTTTGGTCGCTACGGCGTTTGTTGCAACTGACACTCTTTCCGGCCTTTAGAACGCCCGGATCTATCTTTGTTGTCCCCAAATCGATCTTTCGACGACCTTCACTGGATGCTTTATTTTTCTCGTCGTCATCGCCAGAGACCACGACTTCGCGAAAGAATTGATATGGCATGACTAGACCCTCTGCTTATCCCGCTGCGCGTAATATGCCCCCAGCCGTAACGTGTTTGCCTGCGTGCTTTTCTGTACAAAGCAATTAAGATGAACAGTATACCAAGCTAAAACTTACTGCATTTATCGTTTTCGTATCCGATCGTAATACTCTCTTCCGCTTCCTTTGACTACACGAACCAATCCCGATCATTGTCAGCTCATGCACACGCATCCGCATTATCTTCGTTCAAGCGCCTACCACGCACTTTATGTGTCCTCAACCACAATAAACTCAACTTTCGGCAATGTGCGTTGACTTTCTCGCATGCCTCCACCTTCCGTCTTCCAACGATGTCTTTGGCTGGGAAGAAGAGTGCGCGACATTCAATCCAAGATATGCGGATTACGCATACCACAGTCCCGAATTGTCTCGTCCACATGCTATTCTCCCACTTCGTAGGTCTACACGCTTTCGGAGGCTTGTATACTTTAACACTTTTCACCTGCTGAGAGGCCGCAAGCTTGGTAGCAGAGTCCCCGGGTGGTACCATTGAGCCTTACGTGTCACGCGTTGTTTGAGACCTTGGTTTTGATTCAAATGAGATCGAATCGGCAGGCAGTCACTGGACTCGAAAGATTGGTGCTCTAGACACCGGGGAGACCGCTTCATATTAACGTCATCTTTTTGCCGGAGCAATTTGCCATGTCCAGGTACGATCTACGGACCGAAACCTGACAACGGGTCCGCAACCATTCTTCACTTGACGCGACGAGTGATGCAAACTGTCGAGTAGTGATGCCATTTTTATGTTGTTGTAAGTCCATATGCAAGTCATGCATTCCGGGTCTATCGATCAACTGTCATATACACCATGGTCCAACAATCTAGTGTATCTTGTGTGCTCGTACTTCTAAGTCACAAAATTGTTGCGGGTTCGGATGTGGTTGTCCTGTTTCGATTGCACAGAGTCATCTCGGTTTGAACACACATCGATCGCTTCCTTGTATCTGTCTGAGTGAGCCATTCTACAAACAAAACGTCTGCACCTTGTGTTCTTGGAAATACAAAATGATGTTCCGTGATCCGACAGAGACGCGATAGTTCGTGCCTGTAGAGTCTAGTCATTGTTCCGATGCGAACGATCGTTTACTCATATTCAGCTTGCTCCGGTTAGAGTTATAGTATTTATGTCCAATACAATCTCGTTGGCGTACAGATCGAAAGGCGCTTCGTGTACACACGCGCCTTTCGATCTGTACGCCAAAGAGACTGCATCGAATGGGTGACCGTTGCAATTCTCGCCGCTGTAGTCCTCACATACAGCTTGTTGAATCGTGCACATGATGTGGATACATTTGTGGTTCGTTACTCAATTATAGTCATCGACGCCGTCAACTACGTATCGATGTGCTTGTCCTTGCGAGCTGTTTCATCTTGTTTCTCGTTGCACTTTGGTTCCCCCGCAAATCTACCTTCGTTGAGCTCGTAGATAAGCAGAGTTGCAGAGCGGACACGCAAAGCATAGTACGTTAGAGTGCATTGTGAACGCACGTGCGCGGATTCCAAGAGCAAGTTTCCCGAATTAGCAAATGAAGGATGAATTGTGATGCTTTCACCCGTGAAACGCTACAGAATAGTGGGGTTTATAGCATAGCTCTCTCGCCCCACTTTGTCATTCCATAACATCATTCGTCGAGACCGAAGTGTGTTGTCTATTCAGTTACGGTTCAAGCGCACGGTACATATCAACAAGAGCTTGTTCGATCGCATCAATCCACTCAATCGACTCGTTTCCTGCCATCTCATTCTTGCACCTTCACCTGGTAGGCTCATTTGATGGCCTTCAACATGCCACTGCGCAAAGGAGATTCCTGTGATTCACCGCTAGTGCTTGATATAACGTATGCGCTTAGCAGCAACCTTTGCGTTTGACGTGGCAATACAAGTTGCGCTTGTTGTCTATGCAGACCTTCTCATCACGTCTACGTGGTAAGAGCTCTCGGAAGGTGTACTGATCAATGGACGCTAAATGGGTCCTCATCTCAACTCTTCGGGCAATGCAATGGGCTGAGCACGACATCAACTTTAAGCCTCTTCTGAACGATGGAGAGATCACGTGTTTTCGCCATGTTTTGCTCTGACATTCGGAGCTAACCCTCCAGATGACAACGTTCCTGGGCGCATGCTGGTAATCGCCTGAGGTCGCACTGTGCGTACGAGGGTTGTGACGTCAGCAACAAACCCGTAGATGAATCCCGAGACTCGAGTCTTGATGAATCGACCACGTGCAATTCTCGAACGCGTGTACGCGTTTATTTGATGCGCAGGCGAAGATCGACACTTTGCCATCAGGTCAATCTCTTCCTTTCCCATTTCGAAGTGCACTGTTGGAAGCACTCACGAGACGGCAGCCGTCGAGCGATTGCACGCTTGCAGTTCCTTGCAATGCCCGATCTTTAGCACTATCGATGACAATACACTAAAAGTAATCGAATCGAAGAGACCAAGAACCTTCGAGAGCTCTTCGGGCCAACACGGACTCACTCGACAACAAACAGGAGCACGCGCGTGGACTGTTGATAGGTGAGCAGACAGTATATTACATCAAGCACACGTCCCTGTCGTCTGTCTGATCTGCTCCTCCCTTTGTCGACTGCACAATAACTCACACCCGATGCCGTACAGAACGATCGCGTTGACAATACTCAATGCAGCTCCTAATTGCTACGAATGGTGTCGTTAGGACCGCGTACGAGTGCGACGAGTAGCAAAAGTGGTGTATAGTACGAAGCATCAAGTGCTAGTTAGGAAGTCCCACGCCCTGCAACGTCATGTGTGTGGAAGGAGAGAGGAGAGGAGAGAGAGAGAGAGGAGCGCGAAAGCCCAGCTACAGTCGGACATACAGCCACTGCTCCGTCCCGAAGCTCGGCCCGAGTCGCACATCCTCTTGCTCGCTGTTGTATCCACTCGACAAGTACGCGGCGCTGTCGGCGCTGCTTGACGCCGTGTCGGCCATGGACAGCTCGGAAGCGGTTTCCAAGTCGTCGGCCTCAGCGTCGCAGAGTCGACACCCAATCGACAAGCGATCCGTCGCAGCCTCCGAGAGGGCCTTCACCTGCGTCTGAACGCGGACAGCGAACACGCAGACGTCGTCGTGGGGCGTGTAGCAATCGGCCGTGTAGTCCCTCGCGTCGTCGTTTGCGTCACCGCTCTCTGCCTCAGAGACAATAGGGAGCGCCGCGAAGCTGTCGTCCACGTCGCGCGTCTCGTCGGACCGACAACTGCCTCGTGCAGCGATTGTATCCATTGGCTGGCGCTGCTCGTCGTCGGTCGGGAGGAAGTGCTGCAGCAGCCAATAGGCCGTAGCGATCGCCCCGGCAGTACCTGCAGCCACAACGACTTCAGAAACTGCTCGAGAGGCGCGCGCGTGCATTGTGCCGAAGGTGTTCCGTTGCGCTATGAACTTACGCGTGTGCAGCGCCACTTCCTCAGTCCGACACTCCGCATAAGGCGTCCGAGTGGGTGACGCGTCTCCATGTGCGGTCCCTGTGCTGGTGCCAGACCGAAGAAGGCACACAGACCCCACAGACCCCACAGACCACACAGACCCAGAAACGCAAAGCCATCTGCCGAGCAGCGACCGGTTCCATCCACACGACCGTCGACGATGACCCGAGTTGAGGCGGTCGATGGTTGTGCTATTGTGTGGCTCGGAGTCGCCCGAGTGGGGGACTTGGAACAGGTCCGACGACCGTCTCAGCCACGTGGAGTATGTACATCCGTCGCGTCGGCGTTTGCTCAGGCCGACCACTGGCCGTCGTCGTCCGACGTATTAGCGGTCGTCGCCTGTTTCTCGTCCACGTCGGACGCGACCGGCGCGTGCGACAAGTCCATCGACGTGGGGTCGCGTCCGCCACGAGCGTCGCCGCCGCCGTCGGTGGTCTCGGACTGGAAGTACAAATTGCACCGGTCGGACTGCCAGCCGCGAAGATTCATTTTGCACGCGCGGCGGTCGGTGCTCTCGAGCAGCCGCTGCGCCACGTGCGTCTGGTCGAGTTCGAAGAACTGGCAGAGCCGGTGGAGCACTTTGCACGGGCGGACGTCCGACTGGCGCTCGTCGTCGTTGCGAAAGTGGTCGACGCGGTAGTTTGTCCGCAGGTGGGACAGCACTGAGCCGACGAACGCATTGAGCGCGAGCGTTGTGTGGGCCGCGTCGCTCGTACGGCGGAACAGCGTCGTCCGCTTGGGGAGTTTGAGGCCGTCGAGCACGAACGACAGCGACCAGAAAAGACACGACCCCCGAGCACAGCAGCACGCGCGGTCCTTCTTGCAGTCGGTCAAGCGCTGGAGGTCCCGAGACAGTGTGCGGCACTGACTGTACGTGCGGCGCACCTCGTGGATCACTGGCACGTGGCGGGAATCGGCCGTCAACTCGACGCGGTCCAAGTCCTGTCGTCGAGCAACGGGTCCGACGGCGTCGCGGTGGCTGCAATAGCGCGGCCGGAGGGCAAACACGTAGACAGAAGAGGGCCTCTGTCTGTCGGGGGCAATGACGCGCGCGGCGTGGACGTCCACCTCTCGGAGCAGAATCGTCTTCATGGCAATGGAGCGGGCGGCTGCACGACGAGTAGTGGCGAGTAGGAGTGTCACTGGAGGAGGAGGACGCCGACGACGGCATTGAGCGTAGCCGCACACAGCGACTGAATCTTCGGCGGTGGTCAATAGGCGTTCCACTGCCTAATGCCATTGCAAATGGTTGGAAGGGCTGCAGCGATACACAAGTGCGGTCTCAGAAGCGCGTGAGTAACGCGGGACATGTCTGTAGGTATTCGGTTCGCGGATGCGATACCGCCCGATGGACAGCCTCAAGGAAGTGCCGTACAACAAGAGCTCTGAGCTCTGAGCAGCGCTCTAGCACGTGTGTCTCCTCTATGACGGCGCGAAAAGCACAAAGGTGGATGAGCCATTGTCCGTGGGCAACGAAACGGGAAGCACTGCGGGCCAACAATGTGCCGTCTCTCTCTCTCACGATGAGCGGCCTCTTGTTTGCGTGACATGCGATTCGCTTCGTGAAGTTCTTTGGACCGACTTGTGGACGTCGTGGAGACCGTCGCCTGATTAGACTGGTGGTACATGTGCAAAGGACTGTGGTCGTTGTTCCAGGCAAAGAGAAGTGAGACCTCTCCTGTGCATTGTTGGGTCAGTCGCGTTACATACCGACACGCGACAAGGTAAGAGTCGGCACGTTATGTGCATGTTCTGGCGCTCTGTTCGAGCGTTTGGCGGCACTACAATCGCTCTTGTCGACGTCAAGTAGCGCACTCTGCGTCCATGCGTGACGACATCTCGGTGGAACATCTCGGACAGACCTCGTGTCGATGTCTTTAGTCTCCTCTACTTCTGATGAGTTCCAAACTTCTGCTTTCGTCTTTCCCATTGAGTGCACGGCCACGTGACAGTCACACGAGCGCTTGGCGCCGTCTTTCCCATTCGTATCGTTGTAAGCGAACCGGATCGCAACGTAGACGAGTTGTCGACTGCGCATCTGAGGCAGTGCGGGAGGATACGGTATGTTATGTGATCGCAAGAGCGTCGCGGAGTTGCCGCCAAAGTGGAAGCGGATGAACACGACACTGCCTCGAGCGGTGCTGTGGTGGCGGACGTAAGGAAGACACAATGAGAGGGAAAGAGAGAGCAAAGCTTCTCGCTGCTGCATGTGTTTGCGGTGGGTGACAAGTGATCAACGTGGTCAGCTGCAGACGATAAGAGGACACAGCCGCCGTGTGCACACCCGTCGCGTGGGAATCGCAGCGCGTTGTTTGACGGATGCACTGCAACTCCACATGCCCTCTACAGAATTGGTGTCGACCCGACGTGCGCTCACAGGACTGCGAAGTCGTCGGCAAAGTCCGCGATGTGGCCGAGAGAGGACGTCGTTACGAGGATACGATACCAAAGGCATCGACACGAATGAGACACGTCTGATAAGCAGATCCTCGCGCACTGCACGTCACGCTTCAATAAAAGCGTCAGTTGCTCCGCTTCGGCAGCGCGTTTCACACCGCAGAAGCAGACAGCGCCTCCATCTCCGAGGGAGTCAGTACAGGCAGCACAGCACTGGCTCCACGATCGTCAACGTGTGCACATTTCGGGGGACTCGGTCTTTGTTGTTGAGGAAGTAGTAACAAAGCACCGCCGTGTCCAGTGTGCATGATTGTCCAGCCCCGACCAAAGAAAAGGGACAATGCCGTGCAAAGCGCTTGTGCTTCTTCTTCTTCCTCCTCTTCTTCCTCTCCTCCTCTTGTTCTTCTCCTCCTCCTCTTGTTCTTCTCAAGTCGAGTCGAGTCTGGAAATCCAGAGGCCGGCGCGTGATAAACTCCAGTCACGCGGCTGTCTCGTCGCGGTAGAAAATCGCTCCCGAACAGAACGCGCCGTGCGCGTGTCGGCAAAAGAGGGCACACGCACGTGAGTCCGCTCTCGTTGGCGCTGCAGCAGCTGTCGGCTGATCCGTCCAGCGAGTTGTGCCTCGCCACGTTCGCAGCTCGTGACGGTTTCGACGTCGGATCCAGACGTCAGTAGGGCCGTAACTGGCCTTAACTGGCCCTACAGAGACCCGAAGCGACAGACGGGGGCCGACGCGTTCCATGTCGACGCACCGGTTGCGAAGGACTTTGCTCGGATATGTCAAACGTCCCGACAGTCTCAATAGTCGAATGACAATCGTTCCCACGCGTCGCTCGCCTGAGCGATTGACTCGTACGCCGTGTGCTGTACCGCTCGATGCAAAAGACGCATCATGAGGTTATTGTCGCTGCTCCAGTAGCCACAAGAGCACGTGGCAGTGGATTTTCTCTCTTTGCTCGCCTCGATCGAAAGTTTAGAAGAAGAAGCAGCAGCAGAAGATCGTTTGCTGTTGCTCGCGCCGTCTCGTCCATCTGTAAGGCAAAGAGAGAGAGAGAGAGAGAGAGAGCGCGCGCACGCGTGGACAATATGTATCTGTCAGTCTGTGTGTGGTTAAACATACACATCCTTTCCATCGCGTAAATGTGGGCCTAGAGACGCAACTTCCACGCAAGACCGTCCTCCCGTCTTCCGTGCCAACGCGACGAGCTCCTCATTCCTTCCTTCCTTCCCTCATTCCTTCATTCTCCATTCAGCGCAGTACTGCGCGCTGCTTTTTACTCGCTACGAAGGCGACAAACGATTCTTTCGGCCACAAAGATTCGAGGCGACCGACCGATGGCCATTACCGCTGACGTCAAGAGCCAATTGTTCGAAACGGATCACGCGGGCGGCGGTGGGGCACTGATCCGTATCCCGTCCGAAGCTGCGCCGCTCTCGGCGACGGCCCACTCAGAGCTTCGAGAGCCGCTGGCCACCAATGGACGGGCGTGGACTCCGACAGAGCACGAGCGGTTCTTAGAAGGGCTCGAGCTCTATCCGTCGGGGCCGTGGAAGGACATTGCGGCCCACGTGGGCTCGCGCACGACGCGACAGACGATGACCCACGCGCAAAAGTACCGCGAGAAGATCGCGCGGCGCAAACGCGGACTGCGCTCGTCCAGCAAAGACACGTACTCGCTCAAGCGACGACGCCACTACTTTCAGCACCGGCAACAGCAGCTGCAGTTGCACCAGCTGCAGCTCTACAAACGGCAGTACAATTACACGACCGAAGGGCGGGACTTGGCCTCGCCCTGTTCGGTCGCTGGGCCCTTTAGTAGCACTCGAAGAGGCATTGACCCCATGGACTTTCACGGCTGTTTCCCGCCAGGCCCAGTGGCCGCTTCGTCTCGGAGCGGCCGCCAAAGTTACAGCTTTGCACCAGCGTCGGAGAGCGAAGGGGCGAACTCTACTGCAGCCGTGTTGAGCGACTTTGAGTGGCTGCCCATGTCAGAAGAGGAGATCGACTCGATCCTCGAGGTGGCTACACAACCGTACGACGCCGAGACGCGGAGTGCAGGTGGGTACAAGCTGTGACGAGTCCATTTTGTGGAATGACCACAAAAGTGCCTGCGACACATGCGGATATCGATTGCTGTATGTTATTGTGGGCGTGAGTATACAAAGTAGACAGACAGAGACTTGCACGGTGGAAGCCAATAGAGCCACGAGTGACGCTATCCTCGTTCGTTGTAGTCAGTGTGCCCAGATCTTGGCATGAGAATACATTCTGATGCAAGTCACAATTTCCATGGAAAGATCCCGCGATGTGATGTGGCGACGGCAAGGTCAGATCTTGTTTCTGGTTGGGATATATGTGTGATGGCAATTTGCAGCTGCTCGTTGAAAGAGCGTCTGGCAGAGGTTCTTCCGGACTATGATTGGATTACTCACGTTGTACGTGCTCTCGTATTGGTCGGGCCATTAAGATTATCGTCAAGCAAAGCCTTTGAGTTGCGGCGAATTCGCGGCTGATCGCAACCGGGCAAATGCACAAAGTTGACACTTTGTTCGTCTCGGGAACGTGAAAGGATTTCATTTGCAAATCGCGAGCCAAAGCTATCTTAAGAGGATACCTTTTCGTCATAGACATACGTCTGTTGTCACTCGAAATCACGACAACTATACTGTATGTACGCGTCATGTCTACGATGCAGTGCGTCACGTACCAAAGCCTGACAGAAAACGATCAAATTCGATGGCCAGAACCAGACATGGCACATGCCTAATCCCAGTATTTAATCAAACCATCCCAGCCGCACGACACGACCTTGCTAGGCTCGAGAGGATGCCAGACGGCACCCATAGTCGGCCCTCGGTCGTGAGCTTGCAGCTTCCTAATCACCTTCGTTGTCTTCCAGTCCCAGAACACCAGCCTGCCTTCGCCGTCGCCTGACATGATGTATTGGCCATTCGGCGCAAATCCGATCTGGCACGCGTAGCCAGCGTTCTGGTGCCCCTTGAACACTTTCTTGCGATTGATCTTGAACTTGTCTCGCGCAGTGTAGACGTCGATCTGATTATTCAGCGACTGGCCAGCAAAGAAACCGCCGCTCGGGTGGAGAGTCACGGCCGGCATCGAATGCATGCCCGGCTCCGAAATGTACTTGATCGGCACGGGAATGCCCCATTCCCACACCAACAGCTTCTTGTCGTCGGACGTGCTAACGAAACGCTTGTTGTCGTCCACGAACGTCACCGAGTTGACAGCCTGCAAATGGTGGTTGTACTCCTGCACGATCTCGCCCGACCGGGCATCAAACTGCACCACCATGTTGTTCGAGTCGCCCACGACAAATTGCGTATTGTCCGGTGGATAGAACTTCACGCAGTATGGCACCCGTCGGGTCGTGAACGAATGCACAGCTTGCCCTGTCTCGGTATCCCACAACTGGATATACCGGTCAAAGCTGCAGCTCAAGAACTGTCGGCCATCAGTGCTGAAATTTATGCCACGCACAGCACCCGAGTGACCTTCATACACACGCTGGCACTTGCGATCGTTATAAACGTCCCAGATGCGCACGGTGTTGTCCATACTGCCTGACAACAGCAAGTGGCCGTACTGAGGAAACAGCTCGATAGCCTGGACACCTTTCGTGTGTCCCGTCCACTTGTGCACACAGCGTTTGGGTACGTAAATCTCGTGGTCACCATCATCCGGTCGAAGACCACGCGGAGGCTCAATCCACGCCCGTCCCTGGTAGTCGTACTCCTGGGCACCACAGAACTTTGACTTGCCTTCCAGCGCTGTCTGTCCGGCTTTCAACCGCGCAGGGAGCAAGTGCGACGTCTTTTTCTCGACCATGCGGTCAAAATCCATTTCCTCGTCCACTTCGTTCCTGGCTTCTGCCTTGCGGCGCTTTGTCTCGTCGTGCTCCTTCAGCAGCGCCTTTTGCTGCTCCGACATTGTGCCCTGCTCGAGATCCGACAAGAACGTGCCTTTTGCTTCGCACGGAGCCCAAATGCCGCTCGTCTCTTCGTCGCCAACGTCGTCTGCCGCTGCTTGAGCCTTTGCACTGCTTCTGTGCTTTCGCTTTGCCCCACTTGGCCTCGTAAACACATTGTCGTCGTGGAGACTCGCAATTGTGCCTGCAATTGTCTCGCCAGGCAGCGCTGGAGCAGCTGGAGGCGCTCCGTTCACGCGGCGCCGAGCGGTCGCAGTTGCCCCGTAGAAGCTGTGGTTGAACGTGTGGTACTGCGCTTCAAAGCTAATGTCCTCCATCGCAGCTGGTTCGACGACGCCCGTGACAACCTCTTTGCCGCTTCCTGCACGCACAGCGTCCGTGGCGGTCATTTGTGTACACCCATTGCGCTGCACACCAACTTCGGGCGCGAGCGTCGCTTCGATTGGCAGATTTATAGCCAATCGCGTCTGTGTCCCGGCCGTCAACAACGCGAGGTGGTTGGCCCGGTCCTGACTGTCCACGAGCGTGACGTGAGGCGCTGAGTTGACGACGGGGAGGCGGAAAGACGAGACGTCCTTCGGTTGCGGCTCTGGCGATTGCTGCCGTTCCTTGTCGTCGTTCGTGTCGTCGTCGTCGTCGCTGGACGCGTACGTCTGCAGCGCTTCCATTGTGACGACGACGTCGGAATTCCAGCCAGGAGTGTATTTTTGACAATTAAGTGGTGGCGCATGGATTTCGTGTGGCGCACGCTAATTGAGCCGTTCTCTATAAAATGGGCGGCGTGCTGTAGTGTGGACCACATGTTGCGCAACGTCGACAAAGCCGTCACGCGCAACTCAACGCGCGAAAGATATTCTTTGCTGCGTGACACCCCTCCCCTTGTCCGCCCGTCCTCGTGTCGGTGACCCCTTCGTCGCCGTAATACTTGTGATACGCAGTTCCGCACAGAGCGCCCGTCACTGTTTTAAGGTCATTCAAAGCATAGTAACTGTTTGGTGCCGCCACGTCGTCGCCGCCACTAAGTCATGTCGTCGACCCCAATTACGGGTCGGCGCGAGTCCGAACCCAAGTTCTTCACGGCCTCCACGACGCCCAAAGCACTGGACATTGCCGTGCCTGGCGGGTTCCGACGCCATCACGTGCAGACGACGGCGGCCCGACCCGCCGTGTCGAAAGCTTTGCGGTCGCAGATCATCGCCCGCATCAACAGCGTCTACGACCCGTTCATTGGCAGCATCTTGGGCCAAGACAACGACGAGTTCGACGAGCTGAACGTCGAGGACCGCGTGCAGAGTCTGCTGCTGACGCCGCCGTCGACGCGAGGCCCAGTGAGGCGCACGTTTCTCCCCGAGTGAGTCTGTCGATCTGTGGCGCACACACACACACACAACATAGAAATAGAAACAGGAGAAAAAGCTGTGGTGGTATTGTTTTATACATGTGCCGAACTATGTGTGTGGGTGGAGGCGTCACCGACTGACAAATTCTAACGAGAGCGACTCTTTCTGTTGATATGGTGTTGACGCTATTTCAGATCCGGCACAGTTCAAACAGAGAGCACAGCGCTGTTACCGACGGGGCCAACTGCGCTATCGACGTCCAACGATGCCGACAAGACAACGACACTGTGGCACGCGCTGCTCACACTGCTCAAGTCGTTCGTTGGCACTGGCATTCTCTTCCTTCCCGACGGGTTCCGCAGCGGCGGTATCCTCTTCTCGCCACTCTGTCTGACGGTCGTCGCGGCGCTGACGCTGCACGCGATGCTGCGCTTACTTCAGTGCCGAGAACTGGTTGGCGGGACGTACGGTCAAGTGGGATTCCGCGCCTACGGAGCGTGGGGACGTCGCATGGTGCAGGTCTCGATTATCCTGATGCAGGTGGGCTTCTGCTGCACGTACGTCATCTTTGTGGCCCAAAACTTGGCCGAAGTATTGGGCTTTTGTGGCGTCCGAGTCGACGCGTCGGTGCTCATTCTGCTGCAGATTGCAGTGTACATTCCGCTGTCGTGGATCCGGTACATCAGCTACTTCTCCATCAGCAATCTCATCGCGGACGTGCTGATCCTCTATGGACTCATTTTCATTCTCGGCAACAGCTTTTGGCTGCTGGCGACGCAAGGCCCGGCGCAAGATGTGGTGCTGTTCAACCAGCAGGACTATGCCATCTTCATTGGCACGTCGATCTTCACGTTTGAAGGCATCGGTCTGGTGCTCCCGACACAGAATTCCCTCACCAAAGCGCGCCAAAAGCGCTACCCGACGCTGCTCACCTGGACAGTCGTCGGTCTGCTCTTCTTCTACTCGCTGTTTGCTGGCGTGAACTACATCACGTTTGGCAGTAGCATTGCGCCGATGGTCACCTCCAGTCTGCCACGCAACGGATGGTCGAGTTCCGTGCAATTCGGCTACGCGTTCGCCCAGCTCCTGTCGTATCCGTTGTTCCTCTTCCCCGCGGTGAAAATCATGGAGGAAATGCTGGGGTTCCCGAGACGCGCGTCCGGCCAGAAAGTCGCCAAGAACTGTCTTCGTGCCGTGGCTGTGCTCGCTTGTGTCTGCGTCGCGTACTTTGGCCAAAAGCGTCTCGACCTCTTCGTCTCGATCGTCGGTGCTTTTTGCTGTGGTACGTGTGCGGCCGATCAACAAACGGCTTCTCTTTCAGATATGGTGGCTAACACTCGTGTGCTTGCTCAATGTGCACAGTTCCGCTGAGTTTGATCTACCCGCCGTTGTTTCACTTGAAGCTGAACCCCAACGTGTCGTGGCTGGATCGACTCGTCGACACGTTTGTGATCGTTGTGGGAGTGCTGACCTTCTTCTACGTCACGTACGCGAACCTCCAGTCATGGTGAAAGTGATATCCTCATAGTCTGCGGCGTTTCGCAGCAAAGTCGGATGCAGTCGCGTTTTGAGCCGAGACGCCATCGCAAGCGCCTGCAGCTCTGACCTGCCAAATGGACGACTGGCCACTTGTTCCAACGCGTCACACAGGACGAACGACTGATAGCTCACCATTGATTGACATGACCACCACGTTTAATAAAGCGAATACTTACGCGTTTGTTTTCCTCCTCTGGTGCTCCGCTAGCCCACCGCCAGACAGCACAGTGCGTCGTCGGTCTACACGCGTCCCGCCCGTCAGACCAGGGAACGGCCTGGCGCCACACGTCAAACGTCCAAAACTCAGTCGTCTTCCTCGACTTTGGGCGCGAGGTAGAACCGCATGTAGCCCATGTCGCCGATCGCGTACTCGACAACGACGGGGATCCCGGGCGACATGCTCAGCGTCACGGTCTCCGACAGCGGCGTGGCCTTGGCAAACATGTTTAAATACCGGAGCGCAAACGTGAGCTCCACGGGCTCCTCCATCGTGATGATGACGCGGTCGTTCTCCTTCTCGGCCGCTGTGTTGTTCTTGAGCGTGATGTTGCCCGCGCCCAAGTCGCCCGAGACAGAGAACTTGACGCCCTCTTTGCCCACAGCGATCGTACACGTGTCGCCCATTGTCTGCAGGTCGCGACAGATGCGCTGGAACTCGCCCGACGGCATGCGCACAGTGGCCACGTACTCGGTCCCGGGAATGCCCAAGTGCTCGCTGTCAATGTCCATCAACTTGAGCGAAAAGTCCGACACGCGGTCGCCCGCTGCATCCACAGCCACAACAGCCACAACAGTCAGCAGCAGCAGCAGCAGCAGCAGTTCCTTCACACGGCCGCACGTGGGGGTTAGCGCCGGGCAGCAGCCGCTACTACTTTCCGGTGCGAGTACGTACACGTGGCTTCAAACATAATGTTGAGCGCGTCGCCATTGTCTTCGGCCGAGAGCGAGAGGGCGTCGTCGTTGCCCGAGCACTTGAGGATCTTGGCCAGCGACGCGGTCTGCACCCCGAGCGAAATGTTGCGGTCGCAGCGGTAGTGCTCAAAGCCTTCGGCGCGCAGCAGCAGCGACACGAGCGACACGTGCGAGCCGTCCATGGACTGGAGCGCGAGGCCCGACTTGGTGCAGTCGATGTTGCCCTCGGAGATGAGGTCCTTCATGGCCTCGACGATGAGCTTAACGACGCGGCCCTGGGGCAGACGCGCTTCGAACATGGCGGCTGACAAACGGACGGACGGACGGACGGACTGTGGCGGGTGCGGGGCGTTTGGGGACTGATGGCGTTGAGCAGGCGGTTCGGTTGGGTGGTGGAGAGGGCGGGACGGAGGGCAGGGGCGGAGTGTGCTGGGCGGTGGATGGAGAATGGAAGGGGTGAACGAAAGGGGGTGCGTGGCGGTTGATAAGAATAGAGAGACGACCGAAAGAGAGAGGTTTGTTTCGAACGGGAGACAGAGACGCGGACGCTATTTGGAACATGGAAAACGACGCGAGTGGGGTACGCTTTCGCTCGCTCGACGCATTCGTTTCCGTCCACGTGCACTGCACTTTCAGGCCATTGAACCAGCAGATCCAATGTAGAAAGCAGCTCGACAACAACGACAGTTGTGCCAGCGAACTGTCAGTGAACACAGTCGTTGCTGTCGACTGGCGTAGTGCTGCTACATACGAGTCGCAGTGCATCAGAAGCTTTCCATCTGCACGTTTTGGCTATCAAGAGCTGCGAGTGGCGCGAGATCCTATCGTTGGGTAGCTGTGCGACTGCTGTGCAGTTCTTGCAGCGTTTGTTGGTCGACGTGTTGGATCAGCTCAGGAAAATCGCTGTTTCGACAGCGACGTGGCAGAACTGTACGTGTTCGTGCCAAGAAGCCCTTGAGCTGGATGTGGTCGTACCGCCCATGTCGCCAGACAGAAGCGTGTCTACGTTTGCGTCGATGATAAGTTGCAAGACTTGTTTCGCATTCTCCGAGTGAGCTGCCGTTGCCGCCAGTACGCAATCTACTTGCGCCAACAACCCACGACACAAACACGCGACATGTCAGGAAAGCAACTTCGCGACGTGAGCGAATCAGCGGTACTACTGGCTGCAGGTCCGCCACGAAAGGGCACCGCACGTTCTTTCTGTGCCTGTCATTCAAAGTGCAAGTGGAGCACGATCCCGCTTTTACGCAGATTTGAGGATACGCTGGTCGGAGACGTCTGCTTCACGTGAGCACTCCAGAGCTCTGCAGTGTAATGATGAGCAGAGTCTGACGTACACTCGGCTCGAATGTGGTGAACTGATAGTCGCCTAGCGACCACAAACCGATGGACCAAACAAACTTACGAACAGAAGCCATCGCGACACTGCGGAGTAACTTCGGTGCAGCTGCGAGTTTTCTTGTGCGCGTAAGGCAGTCGATCTGTCCAATTCTGGCACCTACTTGGATCCTCGTGGGTTAAAAGCGACAGCGACACGTAGTTGTAGCTCCCACTCGAGCCATAGTACAGAGCGAAGATTGACATGTTCCGTTACAGTATCATCACAGGGCGCAGATTTCTCGTGCTTTGACCCAAGTAGACCCATATACGGGCAAGTGTAACGGGGCAGCCCGTTACATGAAATTGTCACTTTAAGGAAAGTGACAATAAAGAATATAAAGATGGATATTCTTTAAAACAATATCACCAAAGTGGTGATATTGAAGGGTCGACCAAAGGGTCTGTTCATTGGTTGATATCGTGATGATATCAACCCACCAATCGCCGCAAGACGCGCGCAATGAGTGGTGACGAGACGTCACCATACATGCAGTTATATTAGTATAATTGAATTAAGTCAAACGAAGAGACAGTAGTTTAAAGACTTAATTTATTAATATAACAGTTCTACTTTTACCCTACCTACGCTTCCTCGCTTGCCACGTGTACGTCTGTCGGGGCACTCAAAACCCTTGCGTTAAGTTACGCAAGGGTGTGCCCCGTTACAGCAAGAGTCTATAGAAAGAAGTTTCCCACGGAATCACATAGGCTGATGGCAGAACAATCGCATCATAGTGAGCCTACAAGTGCGCGCACGCGTATTGCCATGAAAGCAAAGTTGGATTCATTCTGTGTCTTTGCCGTCATGAAGGAGACATCATCGTATGCCTACCGCGCTTACAAAAGCACCTTCGACTGTGCTCGGCAAGATAATGTGGCGGTGCTTACTTGGAATTTCCATGAGTTTGGGACAAGGACGGGCTTTTGGTCGGGTTTGACCGCCGAAAAGTAAGTGATGTTAGTAGAGCTAAGCTGGTCGAGATGGATGACGGCCTTCAGCCACTCATTGTGCCCGCCCACCTATCTCATTATGCAACGCGGCCTTCCGTCAAGTAGCAGTCACGACTTGTAGTAAACGTCCTTGTATACCTCCTCGACCTGTCGATTTCTACATACAAGAAAACGCTACCTGCAGCGGATCTACACAGCTACTTAAGTCAGAGGAAGGCTTCACGCTCTACGAGCAACTTTGGTTCTACGAACTTGACTCGAAGAGTCAACAGCTCAGATAGCTAAGGTTTGGTTGAAAGAACCCAACTCAGATAGTCAACAAGCTCAGAGAGCTTACGGTCCCTGTTCCAGGGGGACCAAACGATTTAGAGAATCGACGCACAGAGTGCACAAGGAGTAGCTGCCTCAACAAGGCGTTGCTATCTCCTCCACGATCACAAGACGCCTCAAAGAGGCACGTGTCTATCGGATCAAAATGGGAACTGAATTTTATTTCTTCTTTTAACCAAAAAGAACACCCTAGAACAACGTAATTAACCTACTCACTAATGTCCTAAATAAACCTATTAAAAGATCTCGTAATCAATGGTTGACAGACATCAGTCTTCAACAATTGATACTGTGTTCAAATATCACTTTACAAGGGGATCCCATCCCTTGTGTGCACCACACCTATTGTCGACTACCAGTCGACGTGTAGCCCCGTACTCAATTCGTGTTGAGTGCAAGTAGAGTCAAACAATTCTGGCGGTACTGTCGCGTTGTAGTGATGCTGCTTGGATGTCGTCTTGTCGAAGGAGGTTGATGTGCGTCAAGGCCTTGAAAAAAAGTCTACATAGGGTAGCTGACGACTAGTTCATATCTACATTCGTTTAGCGATAAGTCATGTGAAGAATGGGGTATCTAGCGCATAAATAATGGCGATGTAGCGGCTTATGTAGCATCGATGGAGTGAAACTGGCGAGAGCAGAACACCCGGTCGGGTTTATTGCCTACCTGTGCAAATGACGTTGCGAAGTAACATGATACCAGTTTATCGCCACATCTATACGGCGTATGCGAAGGTCAGCTGTGTCCAGAAAGTAAAGCTCATCTTCAGACTTTTGACAATGTCGAATGGATGTCGAGTAAGATCCAACCAAACCATGAGATCTCCGACCACCGCCATGCTCTGACCTGAACAAAGCCAGTACGAAATTGTGTAGTAGTGTGCAATTTTGTGTGTATTTTCGTTCAAATAATTGAAAGTGGACAGGGAAGCTTAAAATATGATTGATTGAGGCAAACTGATTGTCCACGTGTGCGTGCTCGATAACAGGATTATACGTGCTGATCTGCTTCACTTCATCGTAAGTTGTGCCAAAGTGTTAATCTTCCACGACATGTGGACTGTGGACGAGTTGTACATGATGGTGGTTCAATGTATACGCACGTGCACCCGTGTCCATGTGTATCCATACGCGCGTACTTGACTGAGGATTAATCTTTATGTTGTATTCAATGACAGGTAAGCAGCTACATTTTGGACTACATGCCGCCCATGTGCTATCCGGATGACCCGTTTTCCCGTGCGTAAATGGTGTACAGCGTTGTTGCTATATTCGACAAAATGCTGGGAATCAGTGATGGTATTACGTGACACATGTAGTTAAGCTGATAGCTGCTCGGGGTCCGTGTGTCAGGTGCCCGTCGGTCTCGAAATCGTCGACATTCCGCCCTGCAAGCAGTGGATGGCGTATACTACGATTGATTGGTCGTCGACGATGAGTGTACGCGTGCTGTACGTATAACGAGCAATATTTGATAAAGACTTTTCAGTGGATGCTGAGACTGCAGTGGATGTAGTGCCGTAGATGGGTGGGTGGGTGGGTGGCAGGTAGATCACTATGGTCGACGTTCTTTGCAAGGCTGCGTGAACAGGATGGGCTTCAACACGTACGTCGAGTGCGGTTTAACTACCCACATCAAGTACTCGCATCCTTTCGGGCTGAAGAAGATTATACATTTTAGTACGCGGAGGTCGGCTATTCTCGTTCGATTATGTGTAATGGGTTTGTTTGCGACAAGGGCGTGAAAATAGTGACTGATACGGGAACCAGCGCATGTTCTATATTATAAGGTGCGAGACACGGAGAGTAAAATGTTGTGAAGATAACGAAAGTGACAACGATACTGTTTCGTGCTAGTGAACCAAGTGAATAAAGAATGATAAGGAGTGACCTACGAGATCGTAGGTGGTGTGGAGAAGCGCAGAAGAATAACGTTGTAAAGTGTGGATCGTGCCAACCGCATTAAGTGCGAGATCAATTTGATTGGTGGGGCGCGCTCGAAGACGGGCCCGTCGGCACGAATGATAGGATCAAACGACTGAGTGACGGAAAATGACTGTTGAAGTTATGCGGATTGGTCCACTTAACGGTCAAGAAGGAGTATAGTCAAGGATCGACGACTGACGAATTACGATCCGCGATCAAGGGCTTGCATCACCAAGTTACAAGGACCGGAAGACTCGATAGATTGATCACGATCCATCCTAAAGTGTGTGGACACATAATTGGTGTGGACCACATACGGAGCGATCCTATACGGGGCGATCCGCTACGGAGCGACCAACCACCCGAGTATCTACTATAGACCACGAGATGCAAGATGTGAATGATATAGACAATCGATCCGCAACAGTGACCTAGCAAACAGATAGGCATAGTAATGGATTTCGGATTTTGTTGGCCGACATTTGACAAAATTGAATTTGCAACGAAAGATCCGCGTCGACTTCTACCGGGCAGGAACTTTGACCTCCCGTTGAACAGAGAGTGACCTGCGTCTATACAAACTTCGCCTTTGGATTGTGTGGCCAGGCGGAGTGTCAATTCTTAACCCCCGAAAATGCTTGGTAGGACGCAGTGAACGTTACGGTTCAGAATCAAGATCGCGAGACGGCTTAGTTGGTCAGAAGGCCCGC